GGTCTTTTTGTATCCATTATGAGTTTGACCAAATTTGCAATAGGGCAGCCGAGCGACAAGGAAAGAGACCGAACATATCTGAGTGGTGTTAGATATTAAGTCTGAACCAGAGTTGAAACCACATTCCTTCTATTATGTCAACATCACTTTTTAAGCTTTAAATGTAACTTCACCATTGCACAGATTCATTATTCAGAGTATTTTGTTTATTGTTATCAAAACATTAACATATATATATTATTATTGCTTAATCTAGCTTTAACATATACTTTAAATCTGTACTAAAATTTACTTTGAATCTCTTTAAATAGAATTTAAATGATTTAATACATCAAACTAAAAATAAGAAGTTATTCCTAATTTCTTTAGGATGAGTTTCCAACCATTAACTAAATGCATTAATTACAGTATAATTTCATTGTCTACTTCACATATAATTATTATTTTCAAACTTTTGACTGCACTTAAATGAAAATATAATTTATATACCTTTAAGATATTAAATAAATTTAATATCTTAAAGGTAAATAAATAAAAAAGGTATAAAAAAGGTAAATAAAAAAGGTAAAATAAATATTAAATTTTCATTATCTTGTATACAATGAAAGTTTTAAATAATTAACTATTATAAAACAGTTTCTGTCTTAGAAAAATATTTCTAAAACTGAAAGAAAATAGAAACAGTAGTTCAAATATGAAATTTTATAACTTAAAAAATATTACTCCTTTCTCTTACACTTCTCAAATTATAGATTTCTATCACATATTTCTTATTTTATCTAATTTTGAGGCCTTGACCTTCTTATTTAAGTTAAAATCTTGGTTCTCTGTTGTTTAAATATACTATAAATCAAAGGTTGACTCCTGTTTCAACAGCAAATTACCACTCTGGATTGTTATTTCACTATATTTCTTGGAATGTAATTTGATTCTAAAATAGTAATATAGTAATATGATGCGATAGTATTGAATTTATTTCCTGTGAACATTTTTCATTTTCTTTTAATGATACAAATTGCATTTGTTTAGATAAATATACCATATATTTATCTAAATAAAATTAAATATAAATATTTAGCACATGTAGATAAGTAAATTATGTTTTGTTACAAGTATTTAGATGGATTATACTGTAACAATATCTACTTTCAAATTTCAGTTTCAAAATTAAGGAATTTTAATATGAAACTAAATAAAAATGGCTAGATCGCCAAAGGGTTGCTACTCTAAGAGACCCAAGTCTGAGTCTTTGTTTGAGTTTGGGCAACTTCAACAGATTTCACTGTTAGTTTCTACCTAATTTGCTAGTTTTCATTTCTTGCCATTTGACTACCCCAATATAATCTGGTCAAATCCAAAGTGAAGTTGAAAAAAGGCCAGTAAGATAAAAACTGTTAAAAAAAGAAGTGTTATATATCTGGATAAAGTCATGAAAAAAGTGTCAGCAAACTCTTCTTAACTTCTTTTTTACAATAGGGAGTGTTGGAAAATTTCCAGAAACGGTCAAAAATCGTGTCTTCAATAATTTTTTCAATTACAAAATGTTTGGAAAAATCAGCTTGTTTTAAGGATGACAAAATTTTCTTCCATTGTCATATATGACTCATGTAAAATATTATTATTCTCTGTTTTCTTTAAAAGTTTTTTCAGTTTTGCATGTTATTTCACAACCACTATTTCCCCGTGATTGGATTAATGAATACAGTAATTGTGGAAGAGTAGCAGTTCCATGTTTTGCTAGATAAGAAATAATTGTAGTCGCTATATATGACCTAATTTTGTCATGATGAAGTATACAATTTTTTTTCTTCTTCATTTTCAGGTTTTTTCCAGATAAAAATTTCAACTGTTTCCCAAATACTTTAAAATAAATTTTTGGGGAATTATAGAACATTTGCTATTTCAGTCAGTGAGATAATTATTGTTAAATACTGTATTTACTAGGATATAAGACAAGGTTTTTATTCATTTTTCACTGCTTCAAAAACCTACAGTATGTTATCCTATATGCAAGAATGAAGAATTCTTTGCATTTTTGCAGTAATTTCAATGAACTGTGTATACTTCATGCTGTCATTATAGGTCTACAGTCTATTTATCATAAGTTGGCACCTACTGTAAACAAATTAAGACACACCCCCCTTTGTTTATTGGTTTAATCCTACATCCATCAATTAAAAAATGTGTTGCATCTCATTTGTTGGGAGAAAAGTTTCTCGTTATTTATAAAAACATTAATGAAATATAGGTCACTTAGCGATTAATATAAATGTAGTTATTTTATACTAGTTAAATTGTTATTTTTAATGAATATTAGCACATTCTGAATCATTAAAAATAAAATTTTTCCAGTCACGCTCACTATAATGTTTTGTTTTTGTTTTCCATTCATCACGTATTAAGGCAAAGATGGTTGTTTACCTTAATATGTGCATTTGATAATATTTTGTGATTAAATGAAATAAAATTAGAATTCTATTAATAAATCTAATTTTCTTTATTTTGATCTCTAAAGTCTCATCTCATCCTATACACAAGGTTGTCTTATTGTCCTATATCCAAGTAAATATGGTACTTGCAAAATTTAATTACAAGTATCCTCTTAACATAAAAGAAGTATGTACTATTCAATAATAATTCTCTTTAATTTGAAGTTTCATTACATCTATGTGATGATTATTATATTCGGATAATTTAAATGATTCAAAATAAGCATTGCTCGGTAATATTAGATGTATTTTTTAAGAATTAGAATTATTCATAATTTCTTGCTCTGTTATTTTAAATTCAATACTTAAAGTATGTATATAAAACAAAAATTTAGAAAAATGCACAGGCTTATGCTTAAATAGAAAGATCTGAAGCTGCATACTTTTTATATTTGTTATCTCTCTGTATATTTGTGTCTAAAACTAACATGTCTGAGTCTCAGAGGGCCCAAAATTTAGTTTTCTATGCAGAAACATATGAGTGTGACAAAAACTAAACTTCTTTTTACGAATTTTATTCATATATTTTATATCTTTTAGAGAAAGGTAAAACTTTGTATTTGTAAGTAGCTCAACCTGACCTCACTTCTCTTAGCCTATACTGTATATAGGTTTATGATAAAAGGAAAGATAATACATATACTGTATATATATTCTTAAGGGGCGGCAATTTGTCTTTTTGTCCGGGGTGACGTAACCGCTAGAGCGGGCCCTGGCCTGCTTCTACACATACATCGAAAGCGTAATACAGTTTGTGGCTTAAACCAGTAATTATTCCGTTATTATTAAGAAATAAAAATCCATACAATACTCTCTGTTAACTGTGAAAATCTAAGAAATATTACCGAAAATCTTATGATGAACATAAACTAAAGCAAGAATTAGTTAACAATGATCACAGTTTGATCTGGTCTAAACTGTTGTATTCCTTCATACAGATGTAGTACTCTGTATTACATGTATTTTTATTTTATTTTAAATGTTTTAGAACGTAATTTTTTTATTTCTATGGATTCAGATGAACTTTAAACGTCGAGAAATGCAAAAATGTTTGGAGGTATTTTTGTACGTATATGAATGTTATTGTGTTATTTGTGGCACGATTATGTTTTGCTACTTTGAAGCTTAATAACTCTTGTTAATTTTGTCGAAAATTTTTGAAATTTCGCATAGAGATTTGTATATTAGGAAGATTTATGTTATTAAATTTTGATAATTACAGCTCAATGGGTGGGAGATAAGCTTCTATTTTGCGAATAAATGACGATTATGGCCGGCGTGCATAAACTAACGCTTTCGATAGTCTATCGTGTTGCAAATGAAATTATTTTTCACGATAATAATTTTTTTAAATATTTAATTATGTCAAGGATATAATAGTAACATTTAGTGAAGGTATATTAGTTTTTTCACGTATGCAACAATTCATTGCTTTTAATGTTGTTAATCTTCGTATTTAGTAAAGTTTATTTCGACATTTTTAGGTGAGTGTTATTAAACTTTTTTTTAACTGTAGGTAAACGATCATTCGTAAAATGACGAACGAAATACTGCGGTATCTCGGTATTCGAACGTTCAATTCGGTATTCGAACACAAATTCTGGAAAAAAGTCGCTCGGTACTCGACTGAACAAACGTTACCCGCTAGAACAAATTTTTGATTAATACAACTAACATATTTTTATTTGGTCATCCTTATTTACATATTATTTATATATTAAGCATATTTCTGTTAGTAACGAGAAAGAGTAGTATACTTTTGCTAACTTCTTCAACCTAACACCATGTTTTGCATTAGTCCTTTGTTTCGTATAGCACTTATATGCATAACACGGCACGTAACTACCGTGTTATATGAGCGATATCTATATATATATATATATATATTTGACTACTAAAACAAAGTAAAAATATAAAAAATTTNTTGTTTTCAGACAGATTATCAACGAAAACCAAGTTATCACTATATATACAGGGTTCCTACTCAAATTTTTGTTTTAAAATTCCATGACTTCCCCTGAGCAACTTTGTACAAATTCCTCAATCCTCACATCCCTACAGTACAGCACTATGACAAAATGAAACAGCATATGACTTACTATACAAATATGCTATTGCTTCTTCGACTTTTTAGTTAGTTAGTTTTTCTAATTAAAAGTTACGTAATTTTATAATTGCTGAATAATTAAAATTAAAAATAAAATGTTTTATTAAATTAAAATAATTTATCCTGTTATTAATCCACAAAAATAAATCTATGTGGCTTTGAAAGTATGTTTTATCTGTTTAATTGATCTAATGTCAATTAAAGTTGTAAAGCTAAAAACTCTGAATAAATTAAACTTAATCCTCTGTCTTTTAGATTCTAATTTGAACTTTGATACAAAATATATCCAAATTATAGCTATGAATCAAATTTAATTTGTAAGAACTATAAGATTAATTTATTTCGTCATGAATTAACCCAAGTAATTACATATTAAAGTATAATATTTAAATTAAAAATATTACTTACATCGTCGGGAGTCTTGTAACATGGTGGATTAGAATTGGGGTCAAACTGCATGTCAGATGGTATAGACTATAAATTTTAACAAAAAAATTTCTATAAATTGTGTATAATACTATAACATTCATTCAAATTAATGTAACAATGTGCTGGTAAAGAAAAATAATAAAAAACCCATTATCACAAAACATTGATCTCTCTCAGTCTGATAAAATTTCATTTGTATCAACATTTGTATTGATAATTGTAGAGTTTATTATGCCACTTAATGTTATGTCTAATATGGCATAAGAAAATTTTAGATAAACAGTTTACTGAATTTACACAGTTTATTATGAGAGCAATAAATAATATACCTCAAATATATTACATATTGCTCCTGAATGAGTGAATTTAAAAGGATAAATCTCTAAGTTAAAAAACTCAAGTAAAATAGCAATATTTTGGACCTCTGCCTGAAACATTATTTCTTATTTTCTGATTACTATAAATCATTATCCTAAACATATTTTCCAATGTCTAAGTATCACATCATGTAAATAGAAATGGAAAGGAAACATTCCCAGACAAATAGTCACATGAAAAATGTATTTAAATTTTGATATAAAACACAATACATAAATGTTTAGCCTCATATCAAAATATACACAACACATATATATAATTTGTCACATATGATAAATTTAAGAATTAAAAATTATAATACATTTAGCCTATTTTTATTTTCATAATCTAAACCAGGGGTGGCCAACAGTTTTTACCCCCGGGCCGAATTGAAAAGAAAACTTTTTCACGGAACAAACCAGAGGCAGCCCTAGCAAGATTTTGAGGTGGTGCAAGATCTCATTGTGGTGTCACCCCGTAGAGACTAAATTGTACATAGAGATTACAGATACATTTTTCACATTATCATGCATTATCAACATTCTACGCTGTGCTGAAGACATTTGTAATGGTGCATTAACTCTAATTGCACATTTACTTGTTGACCTATTTTTTTTTCTTTTTTAGGAATCAGAATTTTTTGTCGAGATATTCGGACTTAAGTAGCTAATATTGAAAGATTAATCGCAGGCCACATGAATTCATTACACAGGCCAGATCCAGCCCGCAGGCTGTATGTTGGCCATGCCTGATCTAAATTCTCAAATGCTAATGTTACATGTTACTAAAAGAACTTTGTAAATGTAAAACTACATAAAAAAACTTGACTAAACTATTCATCAAAATTTTATATGATACATACAGTAATATCTTGGTTTTCTTTGACTTCGGTTATCGTCATTTTCAGTTTACGTCGATTTTTAATGCAAAAAATTTGTCTTGAATTTCATCAGTATGCCCATGTGACCAAACTCCTAATTTTGCAAAAACAAAGAGCAACCCATGCATTTTCCTGCTCAGTGTGGCATTGTGAGCATTACCTCACACATCTAGCCAATTCCATGGCTTTCCTTTCCTTTTAGCTTCATCATGGAACCAAATAAAGTTTCCAGAGCCAGCAGCCTTTCGAATGCCATGTTAAATGTTCATTTATTCTTTACATTAGTCTTTTATATTCATTTTATATTATTTTCTTATTGTTTTTAGTAATAAACACTACATTTATTCTCTATAAAATTTCTTTTATAGAGAATTTGGATTGAACAAATTAATTGGATTTATATTGATTCATATGGAAATAATTGCCTCAGTTTTTGTCGTTGTTTTCAGACAGATTATCAACGAAAACCAAGTTATCACTATATATACAGGGTTCCTACTCAAATTTTTGTTTTAAAATTCCATGACTTCCCCTGAGCAACTTTGTACAAATTCCTCAATCCTCACATCCCTACAGTACAGCACTATGACAAAATGAAACAGCATATGACTTACTATACAAATATGCTATTGCTTCTTCGACTTTTTAGTTAGTTAGTTTTTCTAATTAAAAGTTACGTAATTTTATAATTGCTGAATAATTAAAATTAAAAATAAAATGTTTTATTAAATTAAAATAATTTATCCTGTTATTAATCCACAAAAATAAATCTATGTGGCTTTGAAAAAAAATAAAAAGCAATTATTTATTATTCGTTAACAAATCCTGTATAATCCTTGTACAAAAATATATATTGTATATAAAAAAAAAAATGTAAAAATTAAAATTAAATTTTGGTTGGCTGTATTTACATCAAAATATATATAAATAAAATATATCAAAGCTACAAATTTGTCTTTGTGTTCCATTTAATAACAGAACATGAAGACAATTTTGTAGCTCAATATATTTTATTTATTTAAATCTTTATGTAAAAATTAAAATTAACTCATTTGATATGGTTTGCAAAATTTAAAGAACTGCTTATGAACTTGGTCTTTAGGTATAGTATCAGAAAATAAAAAATAAAAATTGATGAATAGCACTTGTGTATTCATTACCTTTATGCATACCCCACATATTAAGTCAACATTTCACTGTAATAGTTTTAATATTCTTATTATCAACAGTGCATCTTCATTTAAATTGTAAAAGAAAAACTTAATACAATTTTTGAAAAACTGGAAGAACTATATGTCTTTAAGTACAAAATACCCAAATGAAGTATATTAACCTAGTGTTTCTCAAACTTCACTTTCCGGTAGAGCTGTTTAATAAATTTTTGTGCACCATTTACCTAATTTGCATAGCTTGCTGTCAATATATTTGTCTAGACCCATAGATCTGTGGACCACACATTGTTGAGAAATCTGCTATCTGAATTATCTCAATCACCTGAATGTGAACATTTCTACTCTTTGGCACTACACAGTGCAAAAATTTTCAGTGTTTTCAGATGATGCTTTCAATGATGTCAAATAAAGAAAGCAGTTAAGTATCTCAGAATGGATAGATTTATGGAAGAAGTCAATGGAACACCTGGAAATCTTGCAAGGAGGGATGTCTCCCAGGAAGATTTTCTACAGGTAACTGACTCTATTTAGGTGTTAGATTTGTGAAGAAAGCCTGAAAAATTTTATATGGCCAGCCCACTGGTGAGATGCAAACCTGCAACCAACTACCAGTGTTTTATCCACCAAGACAGTGGTTCCCAATTCGTTTTTTCTGCATACCACTTCAAGAAAGAGCTCAAACTCACATACCCCTTATAGCAGAAATTCATATTAATCCATATTAATATTATAAATTCGAAGGTAATTCTGCCTGTCTGTTACCTTTTCACATCTAAACCGCTGAACAGGTTTTAATAAAATTTGGCACAGAGATAGCTTACACGTTGGAGATGAACATAGGCTACATTTTACTGCGAGAAAATATCTTACTCCCACGAGAAAATTCGATATAACGTGGGCAAAGATGTGCGTAGACAGCTAGTGATAAATAAAATAAGTTTTTTTTACATTTATTAGCTTTAAAATACAGTTCTAATAATAACGAAAATAACATAAGGTTATTTAATTTTAATGTGACAAATGTGCATGATTTTCTTAGCACAACTTTGTAAAATCTGGTTGCTTTTTGGTCAGCTTCAGTCTCAAATCATCTTCGAGTTGAAGTCAGTGATGATGTTTAGTTTTCATGTTTGTCATGACCGAAAATCCGCTCTTGCAGAGGTATGTTGCACAAAATGTTAGTAAATATTTTATTGCCACTTCGCTGACACAATAAAATAGTGATAATTGTACAATTAACACAAATTGTGTTAATTGTACAATTTTTGTTTCTTGCGTAAGAATTTCATTTAGATATTGTCACAAATGCATTTTTTTTAATGAAATTTTGAGAATATTTTTAGTTATAAATAAATGAATTTGTGCATTCGACATCATGTTGTAAATTGCCAAATTTTTGATAGTCCACCCATTATTTTTTTGATTGCTTCATGTCATGCATTTAAATTTTAAATCGACCGATTTTAGATTGCAGCGCGTACCCCTTCAAGCAATTTCACATACCCCCACCAATTAGTGGTACGCTACACGTACCACTAATTGGAAACCATTGCACTAAGACATTTATGGGGCTAAGCACATAAGAAAACCAGTATTAATTACCATGGCCCAGACCAACTTGGGTTATTTTAAAATTTCAAGTAATTTCAAAAAATTATAATGTTTTAATGAAATTATTTAAATTGTAAATGTATGTAATTTTTCCTATTAATTTTGGTTAAAATAATTTAACTTAAATAAAGGAGTATTAATTCATATGCCTCTATATCCTTATTTTCTACAATTTGTTAAATGTTTGTCTACAAGGACTAAGCTTATTAATAGGCCATATTGCACTGGTTGTTTTGGTTTTTGCAATTTTNCGGATATACGTCACTCTCGTCTAAGTTCGACTTGGGAATTTTTTTGTTCAATAATAAATGTGAATTCTTCTTCCTGTAAAAAATAAGACATTCCCTGAAAATAAGACCTAGCGCATTTTTCAGAGCAAAAATTAATATGACACTGTCTTATTTTCGGAGAAACACAGTAATTCCAGCCTTTTATTTGTCTGACAGAAACAATTCTTTTATATTATTCAAGAGACTGTCAGGCGAGCACTCATTAAGTTTTGCATGGGTTTTTATTTTCAAAAGTTGAGAGTATTTACTATTATACTCTCAACATTGAAAATAGGAAGTGAAAGAAAGTGAAAGAAAATAGGAAGTGAAAGAAAGAGAAAGAAAACTTTCAAAAGGTAGAAAGTGGGCAGAAGGTATCTGATGTTGCTGGGCGGTATGGCTTGAACAGGTTTACAGTAGGCCGCAGTTCAATCTTATCTAAGATACAGTATAATCAAGAAAACTCAAGCAGCTAAAGGAGTAACAAAAATCACATCTGAGAAATAAAGAACATTGAAGAGCTCATAATGGAACCTGAAACTGACCTGACAACAGAAGAATGCCAAGAACTCTTGAATGAAGAACACCAAGAAACTCAGTGAAATATATTTTCTTCTGAAAAAGAGGATTAATGCTGATATCTGCTATTAAAAATATTTTGAAGTGGGAGGATGTCAGAACAACAGTCTTAGAATGACATCCAAATTAGATTGAGGTAAATAGGCTTAGGGATCTGTACTATTATTATTTCTGAAAAATCCTGAAGAAGAGAGAAAAGCAATCGACATTAGACAGATTCTTTAACCCCACAAACAGAAAAAAACATGACTAATAAAAATGCAAGACTGTGTATATATATATGTATTTTTATTATTACATATAAATAAACATAGTAAGAAAGTATATATTTTTTATTTTTTGGGGTCTCCAGAACAAACTAATCCAATTCCCATAAAAATCTATGGTAAATCGATAATCGGTTAACGAACAATTTGGATAGCGAACAAAGTTTTGGAACAAATTATGTTTGTTAACTGATCACCCACTTTATTTAAAAAACACTTTTGAATTTTTTTTGATAAGTTATCATTTTTTATTTTCTTTTTGTTTACAAACAAGAAAGTTTATTATTTCCTCTTCTCACATTCAAAGTCCAGGCTCGGCAATTGATCAAACCTGATTTTAATTTACATAACACTGTTTGTTAGGTTTAACTCTGGGAAAAAATCAAATAGTGCATTACACTGCAACATACAGTGTGTTAAAAACAGTTTCATTCCTTACTTTTCACTATTTATTTTATATTTTACATGTATATTCAGTCTGTGTCCAGAAAACTGAAAATCTAGAAATCCAAACCACTTCTAGTCCCAAGCTTGTCAGTTATTTGGTTTGGTACAGTCATATTTCTTTCTTTAATATTGAAATTAACTTTGAAATAAATAAATGGTTTCATTTTTCTAAGCAAAGAGTAATGATAAAAACTACTTACATGTCTGGAAATGAAACATGAAAGTGGACCAATTTCTGTGAACAAACCAACCTAAAAATTTTATAAAAATTTATAATATAATTAATATTTTATCACTTTTCAAAAAATATTTTTTTTTATTTTTGAGAGATTACCAATTATTATGTAAAACTATAATGTACACATTTTAAAAACTGTTTCTGAGGTCTTATTTCTGGATCAAGAGTTTTGGCCTCAAGCAAAGGTAGAAGTATAGTGAATAATGAACATGATGTATCTGGGCCAAACGATTCAGAAAAACTACTAAAAATTTGATACAGACTTTTTCAAAATTTAAATTCCTTATACTTTCTAGAATACTAAGATTTTATATTAAATTCTTAATTTTGAAAAGTATATTTATTGTATTTCTTTTTCTGTTTTTATCTGAAAAACATGGTTATGTATTATCACTGAACATGCTTTTACTGTAATTTGTTTTCTTTAACTTGAAATTGTCTTTACTTCAAGTCCTTTAACACAAAAAACAGTTTTTTACTCACACTGAGGTTAACTTTACCAAGTGGATCCAGAATATTTGATAATCAGTAAAGTTTAATGATTATTACTACAATAAATTTATGATGTTTGTATATTTTTAAATATGTAAATTTTGTCAATTATATTTCATGATTATCTTATATATTAATAAACATTTATATGAATAAAAAATAATTTAATTAAAATTAAGATGTTTGTAATATAATTTAAAATAGCAATATCAATATTGTATAATCAACAAATCTTTATTATGAAGATTGAAAATAGGTTCTAACATAAAACTGACCCAATTAAAACTATTTATTTTGAATTTTAATTCATTATTATCAAGTCAGCTAGTTAACTCATCATAGTATGTAAGAAGTGGTTCATAGTCAACAATGTTCCATTCCACTGAAATCCATTCACGAACCATTCCTTTATAATATTCAGTGTCAATAGTTACATTCCACTGGTAGCTCACTGCTGGACCTCAAAATAGTCAAAGTTCAGTTCATGATCAAACTTGGCATTCTTCCATTAGCCAAAAACCAATAAAATTGTGTGATGGTACATGTGTACTTGATGCTCAGCATTTATGTCAGAGTTGTAAAAATGCAAATATATATATTATATATAAAAATATTAATAAATGCTGCAAAAAAATCACCCAATTTTATATAATATTGGATTAAAAGAACATAAAAATAAAAAATTTAAAGTTTTATTTGGAGAAAAATTGCAAAACGTTTTCCTGGAGTAACTGATTAGAATTAATATAATATAAAAAATACAACTAATTCAAATAATTTCATTATATCAAACTTATGATAGATGTTTTTGATAGCTTCACTGTGTTTTTAACTTCAAATATATCTACATTGATGAATAAGAAGTATTTTTCTTTTTGTCAAGTTTAAATAATTATTCAGACTCTAACAGATTCATAATTGTCAACTATAAACTACTGTATTGTAACAAAAATATTTTTGACGATCTTTAATCTTACAGGACTGCAGCACCTAACAGAAGTAGACTATAAACTAGCCTTTAATCTGAAAGTACTTGCTATTAATCAGTATGTTAAATCAGAGATTCTCAACCAGTGGTATGCTTACCACTGGTGATACATGAGAGAGCAGTAAATGGTATGCGAAAGAGTGTGGCAATATTGCATAACATGAAAAAAACTGAAATAAATAAATGTATTATTTCTACATTTAAAAAATAAAAATAAGTTGAGCTTTTTACCAATTTAGGAAGCTTTTCTATGAAAAATTATTTGAAAATGAATGATTAATTGGCATCAATCATTAAAAAAATCATTCTTCAAATCACGTTCTCCATTAATAAATAACTTCAATTTGTATTTTCAAAAAGATTACAAAAATGAAAATTGTATCAGATATCCACTAAGTTCCAATATACCTGAAAACTTATTGAACAAAGAAAACCAACCAACCAATAGAAATTTCATGCAACAGAATTTTAATAGAAGACTTAAAAAACAACACCCCTGGATTAATCAAAAAAAAAGATTTTAAAGTAATTTCAAATAGGATTATTAAATTTTCAATGTCGTTTTGCACAACTTATTTGTGTGAAAAAAGGATTTTCTTCAATGTTGCATTCGACAAACAAATACAAAACAAAATTAAGATTGGAACCTAATTTATGTTGCAAATTGAGTGATACAATGCCAGATATAAAGAAACTGATCTTCTCAAACAAGCTCCAGTTTCACATTAAGTTTTTTAGTAATTTGTAACATTTCAGATAATTAATTTGGTAGTCAGTTATTTTTAATGTAAGAAAAATATTATTTTTGTTTTAATCCTTATTTGTGCAATTTGAATACAAATACCAAAGACAAAAATTGTAATATTTTTATTTTCAAAATAAATATTTAAAAAATAAAATCACTTATTCTTCAATTATTAATTCCTAAAATGTTCTAAGGTTAAAATTGTATAAAACCAATCAACCATTTTTTCATCTGTAACCGCATTAATCAGAGACAAAGAACTAATACTAAAGTGAACAACCACTCACCACACTGATATACAGTTAATCTCGTACTCTGAACCAATTATGGAGTGTATTTTGAATAGATTTATTTTATTGTTGTTATTTTTTGCCTGAATAACGCTAGGCTCATCTGCTAGTCGATTAATATAAGGGAAAGACAAATATTTATGAACTTCATTTTTATATTTAACTTTAAATCTATTTTTTGTATATTCTAATATCCATTTTTTTAAATCTCCTGGAGTAGACATTTAATAAGAATTTGTTTATTAACTCACTTTGTGTTCTTTTTTCTATCTTCTATTTTGGTTGTTCTGATTCATATCTTGGACAAATCATCACAAAATTATTTTTTTGTTATTGCTAAAGGACAATATGATTTATAATTTATAGTTTTTCTTATATTGCAACTTTTTTATACGATTTTATATTAAGTATATTTTTACAGCAAGTTATAGTTATATATAAATAATAAAAAAATAAAGAAAAGTTAGAGGAAGCTAAAGTAGTTAAAATGTACATGTGAAGATCCGGTCGTTTTACATAGGTGAAACGGGAGACAGCTCTGGGTTAGAATCCCAGAACACAAAGCGGCAATCAGATTAAAAAATAATCAATCATCGTAGACAGGGCATTGTGAACAATTTGGATGTGTCATTAACAAAAATAATGTAAAAATACATTAGAAAGAGAAAGATCTGTATTTGCGTAGATTTAAACAACACACAGAAATTGTAAGTATGCATAACACCATTAATTTAAATAATGAAATGAAAATAGAAGGTGCGTGGATGGATATTGTAGGATATAAAAGCACACAGGCAAACTAATGTCAGTTAAACAATGTTTCAAAAATGGTGAAAAATGTGTAAACGAAGTTTTTTTGAGTGTTGAACACAAGATTGTGTTATTAATTAAACACATGGCTTTTTTCCATCTTTATTCAGTCAAGTGTTTAATTAATAACACAATCTTGCATTCAACACTCAATAAATAGTAAAACACAGTTTCAGAAAACAAATAAACTATGAAGTTTTTTGTTAAATGCAAAAATGGTTGGTTGTATAAAATATATTTTTATTTTATTTAAATATTGTATTATCTGTTTTATTCTTTTTATGTGTTCCTTAGTTTTGTGTAACCTGAAGAAGGGTGTTTCATTAAAAAAAGAAACACCCAGAATGCATAGTTACAATAAATATTAGCATTTAAACACCTTAGTATTGGTTGTTTGTCTCTGATTAATGCAGTTATGGATGAGAAAACGGTTGATATTATATGATTTTTACCTTAGAAGATTTTAAGAATTAATAATTGATTTTAAAGAAACTGCACCATTAATATATTTATTACTAGCAGATGAGACTGGTGTTGCTCAGATTATTAGATTATAGCCGATCTTACCCGTTTTCACAGAGTGTAAGAATTAGGTCCCCCTCTTCCGAGACTAATTAGAGAATTTTTAGATATCTGCTTACCACACTGGGATAACAATAAATAAGATTCACTGCAACCACTAACCAGTGCATAGTACAGGTAACTCCCGTATAGCACGGCACTTCTATAGCACGGATTCACTCTAACACGGTTCGAAAATTGGGTAAAACCCTCGTACAACATGAAATGTAATAAATTTTTACATACTTAAGTAATAATAGTTAACAAAAATTATTATTTTCGTGAACTATTAGTACTTAAGTATGTAAATTTTCTTTTCTCGCCTTTTGTTGATACACATGGTCCTTCTCAAAACTTGTTTCAATGTTGCCAGATCTCAACGCTTCTGCTTCTGATGTTGCCAGACGTTTTTCCCTTCTTTCATACTTGCTTTATTCTTCATAAGTGCTTAGCACCATATGAGGAAATTTATAAAGATCTTTTAACTAGAAGCAAGCTATCTAAAATTACATACATTTTGCAAAAGGTAAAGCATGAATCTGAAGATAATGCAGAAAAATGCTCAGAGAATAAGGATAGCTTGCCGTTTTCTTTTTGACAAATTATCCTCGATTAATAGTGCTTTTAGTGATAACGAAGAAAACATTATTTAATTTATATTAATATGTACCACTTAAATATCTTTATTAAAATTTTCTTATCTTAATTATGAAAATATAATAGCATGTTTTTTAATTTTTGGAACCTAACCCTCCTTTTCATACTAGTTGTTTGTTTCGCATAACACGGATTCGCATAACACGGCATTTTTTTGGAGCGTAACTACCGTGTTATACAGGGGTTACCTGTACCACTAAGTGAAAAATAATAAATGTTTTCGTAACTCTTTCTGGGTTCTTCTTCGGGTTTAATAAATTCAAAAAATAACCTGGATCTTCCAGAATCATTCATAAATATAAATTTAAACATAAAATCGAACATTAAGACGAAGAGTTCAAATAAAGTGAACTTATGTGCATGCACTCTCTGTGTCAACTTTATATACAATGGAACACTAAATATCGTTGAGAATTTTTAAAAATACGGTCTAAAAATACATTCGATTTCCAGCACTAAAATAGTACAGTAGAAGCCAAGTTCTTCGGGGTAATCCTTATCCCTCTCTCTTTCCCTCGCAGTAGGAATTTTGAAAAATCCCTTCTTAATGTGCATTCTCATGGCATACCCCATTAAAATGCAATGAAAAACACAAAAAAACACATCTAAAATAGTATAATAGAAATTGAGTTCACGGTAAGCCTTAATCCTGTCCCTCTCCTCCATGGGAGGAATTTCGAAAAATCCCTTCTTAGTGTATGTTCTCATGACGTACCCTAACTGTGTACCAAATTTCAACTTTCAACTCCTAACCGTTAGCTTACTATTATTATTATTATTAACCTATCTCGATTATAAGATATATAAATATATATCATGCTTATTCTTCATATATATCTTACATATGTCGTAGCAATTTTTTTGTATATGATAATGGTACTAAAATTTTCCATTTATTCTCTCCACTGTATGCATTAGTTAAAAGGTCTCAACCACTGCATTAACCTATTAACATATCAAAATATGTAAATACTTTTTTACATTAATTACTAATTTACTTACTTTATTAACCTGTGTTACTACCGCATCCAGAACTTCACCTTTAAATGGCCTAAAAACAATAGCTTTATATTTAACAGGGTAAACTACGAATCCACGACCTGGCTGAATCAAACCCGCACCTATATTATCTATGGTTGTTACTGCAATCACAAATCCATATCTAAAAATAGTAATTATAATGTTTATAAAAGAAACATATTAATTTAATAGCTGTATTATAACTTATTACAAATGAAATGAACATACTTTCCAGTACAAGTTCCTTCTACTTCAGTAAACAACTTTTGCTTCACTGTCTCCAAAAGCTGAGGGCCAAAATAGCGAGGATGAAGAAGAATTTCATGCTCTAAAGATATCTAATGACAGAATACATTAAAATATTTATCTTATTCAATAAATTTATATAACAATGTTTTAATCTATTATACCAAACAAAAATTCATAATCGTCAATTAATATAAATGTCAAAAAAATTAATTTGAAGTTGTTATATATATAGTAAACTTCGACTAACTCAGACTAATAAGGGGTAAAGGTTATCCAAATTAGTGAATATTTTCTCTGACGACAGAAAATGAGAAGGTGGATATACAGTGCAATAATTTATTATAATCAGCTCTATACAGAAGTTTACTGAGCTTTAGTACATTATACTGATGAATTTATTATTACAGGAAATGAGTTCAAAAAATTTCACAGCAGTACAGTAGATTATGTGGTTAATTCAGAATCAGTGGAGAGACACTCAGATGAAAACATATTAAACTGGTTAAGGTATCTTCCTTTAATATATGAATTAATGTACAAAAGTCTTTACATAGCAGTAGGACGAACGTCCGCACGTGTCGACAGTCAGTAGTTCTAACAAAGGAACAGGTTAAGACAAAGGGTCATAAAACCTTTTGTTTGGTTATTGGGTAGGTCCCTCTAGTGGGTCAAATTGGTATGCGTCGAGAGTATCGACACCTCCCCTCAATTTGATATCACGGTGAACCTTCTATGGGTCCGATACCCATGTTGGCGACGCACGACCGGTGTTTGTTCGAAAACAATGGTTTGGTTAGAACGTCGGCCGGCATCTCGCTGGTCGGTAGATATTTGATGTCTACGTCTCTGCGTTCGAGAGCCTCCCGGATGAAGTGATGTCGTATCCCGATGTGTTTAGTTCGTGAGTGAAAGATCGGGTTTCTGGCAAGTTTCTGGGCGCTCTGATTGTCGTTGTATATCGTTATGGGATGATCTGATCTTGAGTGAACGTTGCAGAGAAGGTTTTTAAGGTGGATTGCTTCCTTTGCTGCTTCGGTTAGTCCGATGTATTCGGCTTCAGTTGAGCTGAGTGCGACGGTACGTTGTTTTCGTGATTCCCAACTCACTACTGCGCCTGCGAGCATGAACATATAGCCTGTGTAGCTGCGTCGATCATTCGGACATGCTCCCCAATCGGCATCTACATAACCTTCGAGT